TGTCTTATAGCTTTTTTGTTCTTCATTTCCTCCATTATTGCCACCTTTTATGCTTAGTTGATATTTGTAGTGACATGTTTTGATTCTCTTCACATTTCCTTTGGTGGATATTCTATAGGTACTATAATGATTCTGTATAACATCCTAAAGTTATAACAGTCTAATTGATACTAACAACTAATTGCATGCACTCTGTTCCCCCCAGTGCGCTCTGGCAATTTTCATAGTTCATGATTTTAGGGTGCTAGAAATGATTTTTGCTTTTGTTGGCAAACCGGAAGCTTTTTTTGCATTGGTATATCCATCTCATCACTAGTTTGAGCTATCTATAACATAACAGTTAGGAGATTATGTTTTGGAGTAAGAAAAACTTAGGTTCAAGTTCCACCTGTACCACTTCCTAAATATAGAACTTTGAACATGTTAACTATATTTCAGACCCTTTAAATCTCAATTGCCTCATAATTAATGGCTAACACATTAATTATGGGCATTGTATTGGGCACTCTTTTAAGCCCTTTGCCTTTGTTACCTCCTTTAAATCTCACAAAGCCTATGAGATAGGTTCTATTGTGATTCCTCTTTTACAGGTGTGGAACACTAAAGCCCTAATTAATTTGCCCAACATATCTGGTAAGTGGCAGGTCTAGAATTTGAATACAGGTATTCTGTCCTTGTTCCCATGATTCCAAACTGATTCCTTTATGAAATGGAGATAATTATAACTTCCTCAAGCATTGTTGTATGGTTGAATCATAAAATAGGCAGACATTGCTTAGCACATAGTCACTTAATAAATGGAATCAGTAAGAAGTAATAGTAATTTTTCCCTTTATTACACAGTTTTACTTCACTGCTTTAGATTATTAATAACATGATATTACTATCTTTCCATCTCTTTGCCATGGTGCTTCTGAAAATCACTGTCTTCTACAGTAGGTTTTAGGAGCAGATCAGAACAAATCTCATGTCCTGCAGACAAGGATAGAGGGCATGGTTTTTTATGCAGCCTTGGTATGAGGCACAAACTTGCATTTGCCCAGAGTGGGTGTTCTATGGCTCCTAATTCTGTCCCCACAAACGCAAGAATTTATCTGGGGCAAAGATAATTAAGTGATTTTATGATGGGGCATCTGCTTGCCTAATCAGAAGACTTATTATTATTTTTTTAATTTGTTGTAGCTATCTTAAAGAAATCCCAATGGTGATTCTGCTGAAATTTGTTTCAGAAGGAGACAATATCCCAGATGCATTAGGTCTTGTTGAGTATCTTAATGAATGGCTTCAGATAATCAAACCACGTGTAAGTTGTCCTACAGCTTAAACCTCTGATTTCGCGGGTTATATATTCATAAGCTTGCATTTTATATACTATATAAGTAGACCAAATAAGTAAACGTTTATGTTAAATGTAAACATACCTATACATAAAATTTAGTTTAGCTTAACTTTGGAAAAGAGGGCAGTTAATGAACCTATTGTCTACAGTTGTTTCATTAAGGCTGATTTTCCAAAAAAAGAAAATCTTAAGTACTTCATTGTATTCATTATTCATGTTGCATTTATACCAGACAGTTTCTTACAAGAATAAACAAGTTCTTTTTGGAATTCAGGATTTTATTTTGTTTTTAAGAAACAAAAGGTATTGCTATGTGAGCAATAGTAGCTGTTGAATATGCATATAGTTGAAATACTTCTCTCTGTTATGAAATAAGAGCATCACACCTAGGGAAATCAGTGAGCCTTAAGGCATTGCAGAAGTACCATAGGCTGCTTTATCTGGTAACTGGCTTTTTAGTTTGTGCTTTTGCCAAGAACAAATTGATATAAATCACACAGCATTGAATTAAAAAAAAAAAACTATTCCTTTCGAATTTGATTCGAATTTGATGGACTATATCCACGGCCTGTCTGGCATATCTTTATGATTTGGAACTTGAGGAAATTTATCTTAAGTTGACATAAAGACATAGAAATGTATTACTTTGTTTTTCCTTAAAATAAAACCCATCTAATAGCGTCAAACCAAAGGGAACAAAAAAACTAGAGGAGGGTTTTGTAATACTTACATGTTAAAAGTCAATTTGGTGGTAAAGTTGAAGGATTAAAATATTTTGTTCTTCATTTACAGGGTGATGATCCCACAGAATCTGCCTTACCATGGAAAATGCCAAGTTCTTGGAGATTACTCTTTGGCAGTGGTCTTCCCCCTGCGCTTTTTTGATCTGTTTTCAGTTTTGTACTTTATATCCCAAGACGCTTATTGCCAACACATCTGTTAAACAACTATATAAAAAGTTGTGTTATCTAATGTATTAGAAAATAAATCTTTACTTTTCACAGAAAATCTTAAGAAGATTAACAAAAGGTGGTTTTTGCCATGCTTTTCATCATATGCAACAAATGTAAATTTTGTACAATAAAATATTTCCTAACTAATTTTGTGAAATGTATCTTTTTATTTTCTTAACTCAGAGTTGTGTATTAATTTCTTATTTCTGCTGTAACAAATTACCACAAACTTAGTTGCTTAAAACAACACAAATTTATTACCTTATAATTCTGAAAGTCAGAAGTCCAAAAATAGGTCTCACTGTGTTAAATCAAAGTGTTAACAGTGTGGCGTTTCCTCTGGAGGCTCCAGGGGAGAATCTGTTTCCTACCCCTCTCTGCTTCTAGAAGCTACAACATTCTTTGGCTCATGGCCCCTTCCTCCCATCTTCAAAGGCAGCAGCATAGCATCTTGAAATCTCTCTCCCTCTTTCACTTATAAGGACCGTTGTGATTACATTGGGCCGAATGCAATAATCCAGAATAATTTCCCCATCTCAAAAGAAGTTTAGTATAAAAGAAATCAGAAATGTTTTCATTTTTTGAGTGCCTACTACATACCAGTCACTTTTTGCACATGATCTTAGATATCTGATGTTTGGCTATGTTATTTCCGTGCCTTGGCTTTTTCATCTGTAAAACAAGGACTTATTAAGGGGTAAACCCTACTCTATAGTACTCAGAAAATGATTTGTTATATATAAATCATTCTGGGTTCTATAGCCTGTTTCTGTTTTCCTTTTGGTTAAAATACTGGTGGGGGTTGGGTGGTGACATCAACCACATGGTGGAATAGGAAGTCCCACCCCTCATTCCCCACAGAGACACCAACTTATCAACAATATATTGACCAGGGCTGCTGGAGAGACTGGTTTGTGTCTTGACTGATGGGGCACTAATGGAATTGGCATACATTAGATGTCTTGGGGCCACTGAAAGCAAAGAAGAACAGGAGTGGCTTGTTGCAGCACCAGAGAGCCTGCAGTGCCACAGAGGCCAACACAGCTCTGCACAATCAGGAGAAGGCACCCAACTTCCAGCTTCTTCATCAGGAGGGAAAGAAGAATGAAATGTGTGTCCAGCATTCCAGCTTATCAGGGCTCTGCCCAAAGGACTGGTATCAGTCTCACCTGACTTGGTGCTGACGGAGATCTAGCATTCTTAGGATGCTTGGGAATCACTGAGAAGAAAGAGTGGCACCTTGCTGTTACAGCACCAGAGAACCAGCAGTGCCCCAGACAGACACTACAGGGAGCAAGAGGTTGCAAGCTCCTGAAGAAGGAACCTACAGATCTCTCTAACTGGGAAATACACACATACAAACCAGAGAAACTGCATTCTGCAAAAAGGACTTCAGGGGGCCCCAGAATCTCTAGCTAGGCTGATTGGTGAAGGTCTTCCCTGTAAGAAGACTGGGAGAGATGGCTGTTTTATCAAATGCATAAAACAGCAAAACAAGGCACAAGAAGAGACAGAAACATAGCTCAGTTAAATCTCCAGACCCAATCCCAAAGAAATGGAATCTATGAATTATATCACAAAGAATTCAAATTAATTATCTTAAAGAAGCACAGTGATCTACAAGAGAGCTCAGACAATTAAATGAAATCAGGACAACAATGCATGAACAAAATGAGAATATCAACAAAGATGGAAACTACATTTTAAAAACCATACAAAAACTCTGAAGCTAAAGAATACAATAATTTAATTGAAAAGTTCACTAGAGGGGCTCAACAACAGATGTGATCAAGCAGAAGAAAGAATCAGCAATTCTGATCATTGACATCAAATCAGGAATTAAAAAAAGAAGAAAAATGGAGAAACTCTAAGGGACCTATAAAATAGATCAATATATGCATTATGAGAGTCCCAGAAGGAGAAAAGAGGGAAAAAGGGACAGCTAATTTGCAGAAATGATGGCTGAAAATGTCCCTAATCTGAAGGAAATGGATATCCAAATTTGAGAAGCTCAAAAAACGCGAAACAGAATGAACCTAAACAGCCCCACTGTCTACAAGAGACTCAACTTAGATGTAAAGACACATGTAGGCTGAAAATGAAAGGATGGAAAAAGATATTTGAGGTAGCTATACTAGTATCAGACAAATAGACTTTAAGTCCAAAACTCACTAAAGAAAAAGAACATTATATAAGATTACACCAAAAAGATATAACTATATATGCACCAACATCAGAGCACCCAAATATACAAAGCAAACATCAACAGAACTGAAGAGTGAAATACAAGGTCTGACAAGTTCACAAACTTGTTGCACCAATGTTGCTAACCTTTTTTTGATATCAGAGGGATTATTCATTATGAATTTGTACAAACTGTACAGTTAACCAAATTTTACTATTTGGAAGTGCTGAAAAGACTGCATGAAAAAGTTAGATGACCTGAACTTTTCACCAGCAATTCATGGCTCTTGGATCACGACAATGCACCAGCTCACACGGCACTGTCCATGAGGGAGTTTTTAACCAGTAAACAAATAACTATTGGAATACCCTTCCTACTCACCAGATCTGGCCCCAATGACTTCTTTCTTTACCCAAAGATAAAGGAAATATTGAAAGGAAGACATTTTGATGACATTCAGGACATCAAGGATAGTACGATGACAGCTCTCATGGCCATTCCAGAAAAGGAGTTCCAAAATTGCTTTGAAGGGGGATGGACCTAGGCACTGGAGTTGGTGCATAGTTTCCCAACGGGAGTACTTCGAAGGTGATTGTAGTGATATTCAGCAATGAGGTATGTAGCACTTTTTCTAGGATGAGTTTGCGAAATTAACTGTTGGACCTCATAGACAATAACACAATAATAGTAGGACTTTCAATACCCCACTTTCAATAATGGATAGAACAACCAGATAGAAGATCAATAAGGAAACAGAGGACTTGAACAACACTAGAGACCACTTGAACCTATCAAGCACATACAGAGCACCCCATCCAACAGCAGCAGAATACACATTCTTATGCACACATGGAACATGTTAGGCCACAAAAAAAGTCAACAAATTTAAGAACATTGAAATGATACAAGTATCTTTTCTAATATGGAATACAAGTATATTGTATGTTTCTAGGAATGTGTACATTTCTTCTAGGTTTTCCAATTTGTTGGACTACAATCTAGAAAAACTGAATCATGAAAAAACAAGGAATCTGAACAGACCTGTAACTAGTAAAGAGGTTGAATCAGTAATCAAAAACCTCCCAACAAAGAAAAAAGTCCAGGACCAGAGGGCTTCATTGGAACATTCTACCAAATATTTAAGGAAAAATTAAAACCAGTTCTTCTCAAACTCTTCCCAAAATTTGAAGAGGAGGGAACACTTCCTAATGAATTTTATGAGTTCAGCATTATTCCGATACCAAAGCCAAAGATACTACAAGAAAGCTAGAGACCAATATATATGATGATATCATTGCAAAAATTCTCAACAAAACTCTAGTAAACCGAATTCCATAGCACTTTAAAAAGATTATACAGCATGAACAAGTGAGATGTATTCCTGTAATGCAAGGATGGTTCAGCATAAGAAAATCAATAAATGTAATACACCACATTAACATTTCAGGATAAAAATCACATGATCATATTAATGGATACAGAAAAAGCATTTGACAAAATTCAACATTCTTTTATGATAAAAACACTCAAGAAATTAGGAATAAAAGAAAATAACCTAAACATAATAAAGATCATATATGAAAAGGCCACTCAATGGTGTAAAACTAAAAGTTTTTCCTCTAAGATCAGGAACATGGCAAGGATGCCCACTCTCACCACTTCTATTGAATATAATCCTGGAAGACCTAGCCAGAACAA